TTATCTTAAGATTTGATAAATTTAATAATGTAGACATCTATATTTCAACTGGCAAATAAAACACAGGGAGATATATGGAAGACATTTAAAAAATATTTATCCTAATTAGACTTTCATAATTTGTGTCTATTAAAACCAACTATAATTAATATTTAAGCATTTTACACCACCAACATAAAATGCAATAGAGGGGCTACTGCTTTTTGTTATAATATACACAGTACATGCTTCACACAGGATGATCTTTCACTATTAGAAAAACTTAAGCTATGTACTATTCTTAATTAAGGTCCCATTTCAGTTAAAGTAAAGCAATTTGCAACTTAATTATAATAATAATACAAATCGCAATGTAACTAATGATATAGTATGCATTTGTGTTGGTAATTAGACTAGTCAGTAAATAAAGCTTTACAAGGCAGGAAATAAAAACAGGTGAGGGAGTTGTGCTCATTCATCACCTTGCGGACTAATGAGAGCTGGAACGGAGATCAGTCACTTCCAGCACATTCCTTGATGTGCACCACAAAAACACATGCTGTAGACAGTTCCACTAACCTAATAAAACCACCAGGCAAGTGTCGCCAAGTGTCAGTTTAGAAAAATCCACAAAGAGAAACAAGTGATAAAACAGAATATAGCTAAAACTAACTCATTTATCAAAAAGGCAGAATAATTATTAGGAATGCCCAGACTGTATGCCCTGTGATAGAAATGAATAATGGGAACATTAACTATATTATTTTAAATTAAGAACACACTGGAGAAAACCCCAAATCTAATAAGTTAACTCTACCTAGGCTTGAATTACACCCAGGAATATGGAAATGGTAAAATGCTTGATTTTACAAACCACAGAGGTGATTTTTCTTCTATAGCGTACAGGAAAAGAATGCAGAGGGCCTCCTGTTCACAGTAATAGTAAGATCAGACATCAAATTTTGACATTTTCACATTAGAGAAATTGAGTTCCACCAAAATTCTAATCTATAAAAAGGCAATGCTTTCCTTTTAGCAGAGGTGTGATATAACTTACGCATCTTCATTCTACTATCGTACTGGTGAAGCCGGTATGTTAGTCGAGTCAGGTCCCGTGTGTAACACTAGGTATCTGTTTAAATTACCACTTGCTATTAAATCACAATTCCGATCAACTTACAACTTACTACAGCAGCTCTTGAATTAAGATTACAGATGTAGCGAAAGAGATAATTATATATATTTTTTTCTGAACAGATTTTGGGACAGAGTTCCTAATGTAGCATACGAGTAAATTATTTAGATTCTCTGCTATTCTCAGTTTGTACAAATGCTGAAATCCATTTTGGCTTATTGGTGTTTTGGCTCCAAATGCATCAACCTCCCCAACTCCAACTACTGCTTGCTTTAAATTCAACTCGGGGAGTACTTATTATCTCTCCTTGGCACAGACCATCTTACATTGTCAATTACATGAGTGAGTGTATAATATAGTAACATATAAAATATACATTCTGCTTTACCAACCAGGATGTGAATACCCTGAGGGAAAGACCATGTCTGTTATCTTTTTAAATAAAGTGGAGAGAAACAGAAAATCTTTCCCAGGACCTAGCACAGAAACTTCATCACAGCAGGGACTAAAATAAATGTTTATTTCTTACAAAGAAAAGGTAAAGAAACAGTTATCTTCAGGCAATAATCTGAATACTAGGCAGATGTGAATAGATGACACCCACAAAGTTCACATTTTTTGTTAACATATAGGTGTTGGCAAAGAGCAGCATCCATATTTTCAAAATTGAGAGGGAAGAGAACTATGTTATTACCGACAGCATATTCTATACTTCTCCCATTATAATATTGCCAAAATTTTCAAAGCCAGTCAACAGTGAGTATGTAGCTCTTCTAAAAAGCATCCTCAAGCACTTTATTCTTATGGGCATCATTCCACAGACACTCCCTTATTCTGAGAAGATAATTAAGAAAATATGCTTTTGTCAGACATATTTTTTCTCCTCTCTTTGGAAAATTCTACTGGTCTTCAAAAAATGAGAAAAGAAGCTCCATGCCCGCTGTCCCTTATCTTCTGGCCCATACTGTAAAAATACAGATATTCAGAGGAAACAGCATGGATGTACATGTTGACAGGAATAGCACATCCTGAAATGCAGTTATTGTAGATCAAATAGGAAACTGTCTTCTTCTCCTAAAGGATATTCTTTAAGGTGATAAATAAATCTCACAGCTGGAGGGAGAATGGATTCAAAGGGATATAAGGAATGTTAGTGGATTGATAGTACTATTAATTTTGCCATGGCTTTTTCTCTGAATTTGGGTAAGTCTGATTTAGTAAGTGGGCCTGAGAATGGATAAAATATATAATAAAAAATTCATTCAGATCGCCAGGAAGAAATTAAAAGTGTTCCCATCAGTTGTCAAAGGGTCACCTAATTTCCTCTAGTTTGACATGAAAACATTAGAGAATACATAAATAAAATGGCACATTAGTTTTTACCATATACAATTGTCCTGCAATTCTTGGAATTAAAAAGTTCTAATGTAAAATACCGTAAATCCAAATAAGGTTTTATAAAAAAACATAATGCCCCACTTAATGAGTTTCCAAGAGGTATAGATATGAAAGATAACAGGATTCAGTATTTAAGAGTTTTGAGAAGTATTCCTTTATGTACTGAAACATATCTCCCCTGTACACTAAGGATAGATTTAACTAAGGAAAAGTCCTCTTGGCTGTTAGAAGTAAACGCTAAGTAAAATTAAATAGGCTTTAGAATAATCTGATTTCTTACGCTTATTTTAAGAGAGGCTAGAACTAACTGGATGATATCAGCACCTTACAATAATTGGCTGAACTTTTGCAAAGATGTAGGTGTACACGTCTCTCTGCTAGTTTTAGTAGGGCCTTATTTAATTTCATTAGCTTCCAGGAAGCAATAGGCACTAGCTCCACAGAATCTTAGAGTAGAAAGTTGCAGTGATTGTTCACTCCAGTATTTTAAACTTGGGGTTCTCAGGTTCTAGGTGGGCTCCGAAAGTACTGTCAGCTTTGGGAAACTGTGTAAAAATATGCATACTCAGGAATGTGCATTTTATGAGGAGAGGGCCATGTTTCATCAGAATTTCAAAGTGGCCTATAAACCTGTAAAGGTTCACAAAATAACTACTGAAGTAGACTAACTGCACTTTACAAATAATCCTGGGGGTGGAGATGATCTCTGAAGACACCCAGAGTAGCTGTAAAATACCTAGAACTAGGTCTCCTGTTAACCACCTAGCTCAGTGTATTATTGTGCCCATATCATTCTTCTCAGAGGGTAAGGAGGAAGAAAAAGAGTTTAAACGTGCACAGTGTTTTCATAAGCAGGTCTTATTTCAGGTAGCAGAGTTGCTTCTAGGTCAGAATACTATCTATAAATACGAAGTCCAAAGATATGGAAGGTTATTATAGGTGATATACCTGAGCCAAATAAAAAACTCGTGGATCTCAAACAAACACCATACCACCTCCAGGCCTAGCACAGACCAACTCTTGCTTTAAGTCCCTGCAGCGTATGTTACTACCTTCAGGGTGACAGAGAAAACCATAGGACCCCAACAGGGAAAAACGGATCCTGAGATATCACATCATATAATAGAGAACTACCTCAAGTTAACATGGCCTAGTTATGTGGTCTCTCCCTGTCTCACCGCTCAACGACATCCCTGCCCCAAACCCAAACACACACACACACACACACACACACACACACTTACTATACACAGTACACAGGTATGGGGTGATTTCAAGGTATAGATATGTAACATACAAATGAAAACAAAGCATGACATTTAACTGATTTATTAACCAAATAAGTAATTTCATGATTATTTAAGATTAATTTTAGGAAAGAAAGTCACTAAAATAAATAATTAAGAATAAATGTGCATTAATCCTGCCAAACCACCCTGTACATCCTCTTGGCATTTCTAAACCAAGAAAGCTGTTAAATTTGTGTCTATGCATCAATGTGTGTATAAATGTCTAAGTACATATTCTATCTCTACCACTTACATACAGTATGATGTTAGGCAAATTACTTAATTTCTCTGCAACACAAGTTCCTTATTAGTTTCCATTAGTAAAATGGAGATAACAACAGTATCAACCTTATTGGGTTATTGTGGGATTGAATGTGGTAATACAGGCACAGAGCCTAGAACAAAGCTTCATATTTTATGATGATAAATCATCATCATCATCATCATCATCATCACCACAAGGAGGTACGTAAGCAATTGATTACTTACGGGGAAGAAGGAGTTAAAAAGGAGGCTTAAGATAAAACTGTTTATTGACAAAATGTTCAAGCTATCATGAAAATTCAAACTACTCCCTAGGAAAATACCAGAAACTCTGTTTAGCCTAGGTTTACTTGGAGCAAAATTCCCATGGACTTGGCTTAACAGGATTCTCCACCCCAATGGCATGGAAGGTCAGGCTGATCTGGGTCAGCAGGGCAGTTCCCTTCCCTTCTTTTACAACTGTGGGCAGGGCAGCCCAGGTGCTCCCTGTGTCTGTCACACCAGCTCCTTACATGGGAGATCCGGTTAGTCCAAGGTTCTAGCTCTGCAATATCTCTGCCAGCAGCTTAACCAAACGAAGTAAGTACTCTTAGGAATTGGATTCTTTGGAAGTGAAATGTTTTGATGACAATTTTAAAGATAATGGGATGCTCTTGGTATCTTCAGAGAAAAAAAATGCAACATCACCACGAAATAGTGAAAACCTCAAATCACGTTTGGCTTGGATGACTCTGTTGGGGTCATGCTATCCTATGACAGGGACCCATCTAAGGCTGAGGAACTCTGGAAAACGTATAGCTTCCAACACAAGGACAGATGCCAAGACTGCCAATGGTATTGGTCACTGACATCGTGCAAGAAACCATCCATCCAGTTAAACCACAATATTGCATATTCCAACTTCAAAAATATGTTGTTAAAATGAAGAGTTTTACCTTTTTAAATTCAGCAATGCCCAAGGTATTCCAGAGGGAGTATGAAATGCAGGTAGCAATTTTACCCCAAGTTCCACTGCTTTCTTTCGAAATATCTGAAAAGTTAAACAGTTACGTAAGCTACTGTTGTAAGCAAAACAAACAGTGTTATACTACCATCTCACATTTGGCACTTATCTACTTTAAAACTTTCTTCATATGAAAAAAATAAAAGTTTCTCAAATTAACAGAGTTACCTAGCAAAGAAAGAATGGTCTAGGGGCCATGTTGCTGTGGGGAATTCATTACCAATCTTGGCTGCACAATTAGAATCATGTTGGGAGATCTGAATAATGCTGCTGTCTGGGTTGCACCCCTGAGATTCTAAATTCTATGGGTTGGGGCTTCCAGATTAGAATTTTCTAAAGCACCATAGGTGATGTCAGGTGATTCCAAAATGCAAGCCAGGGGGAGAACCACTGCTGTTGGAGGTAAGTCCTGGGCTGAAAATTGGGAGAACTGGTCCTGTTCCAACTTCACTTATTTACTAAGGTACAGAGAAAGGAGAAGTTTTAAGAAGACATATTATTACAAGTAACCTCTATGTCCCCTCAGCTCTTTGCGGTTTTAACTTCCTCTGATGTTAAGCGTAGGTGAAATGGAAGATACAAAGTTAAATTAGGTACAAATTACACCCAGAATGTATAAGGAAGATAATATATGCACATAAATATCTAGAATGTAGAAAAATGAGAACTGGCAATAAAATCACCTGGGAGTCCTGATGAGCTCAGTAAGGCTGCGCGGTGGAGAGCACATTTGGACGAGGACTGTGCAGTATGTCAGGGGCTAGTGATACTAGAGATTGGAGTGGGAAGTGGGGGAGGCATCCCTGGAGGCATCAGCGTAGACACAGACAGGCAAGAGGGGGCACGTAGGAGCAATGGAATGGGTCAGCTTGCCTGACCAAAAAGGGAAGGATTACTGGTAACAAAGTCGGACACACATAGCATGGGCCCGAATCATGGAAGGTCATAAATCTAAGGCTAAGAATTTTACTCCATTCAAATGGGAAAGATTGAAGGTTTTTAAGCAGCCAGTTCACTTGAGCAGATTGTGCTTCAAGAAGAGTAATTAGATGACACCCATCCACAGTCCCATTGAAGGAAGACCTGCTACAGCTTTCCCTGTGACAGTTGAGGCAGAAAGCAGGTGCCTTGCCCCTTCTCCTTCTTCTACTGTAGGACTGAGCATGGTGCGCTGGGAACTCAACTATTTCCACTTGCCTCTTCCTTAAATAATGGAGATGTGAGAAAGGCTGGGGAGACCCTGAGAAGCATGGAAAATGAAAACAAAGTCCTCTCCCAGCCAATGGGAAAGCATCCCTTAAACCCACTGTCAAAGAAGTCTTGTGTAGCTTCTCTAGAGGAAAGGGTTCTAGTCCGTAACTCCTGCTCTAAGTCCTGAGACTCCCCACAGACAAATCCAGGCACTTGGGCTCCCAGACTGAATACACTACAGTAATGCCAATGTTGACGCTATTTCAGAAACCCTACTCTTTTACATTCTCTCATCTATTAATGAAAGTTAAGAAAGTAATGAGTTTTCATGTAAATTTTTGGTTGACAATTTAGATAAACTAACATTCCTGGTATACAAATAAGGAACAGACATTTATAGTATAGAGAAAGCACTAGAAAACAGAGGTACCATTTTTTCCATTCTCTTTAAACTGGACAATTTTCCCATTTCAACAACAGTATATGGAAGGAGAGGAGAAAGAAAAAAATAGATCAAAAGATATATTCTTCCCTTTCTCTGCCTTACCCTAGAGAATTCCAAGTTCTCTTCTACTGAAAGGGACTATCCAATCACAGCCCAGCCATCTGTTGACTTCCTAGTTTCCACTTTTTAAACTGTTAATTAATTAACTCCTTTTCAAGAAACTTACATAAGATGGAAGTCAAACGATGCAATTAAAATACCATCGTGGATATTATAACCATATGGCGTGGGAGGTTAAGGATGCAGGCTTTGAAAAACACAATGCCTATGTTTGAATCTCAGTTCCAACTTTTTCAGATTGGGTAATCTTGGACAAATTGCTTACTCTCTGTGCTAAGCTTCCTCATCTATAAAGTGGGGATAACAACAGCATTTGCTATTTTAAAGGTTGTGGAGGGGAATGCGTTTTTATATTGAAAGACCTTAGGACATGTAGTCATCACATTAAAAGGCTAGTTGTATCATGGGGATAATGATAGCAGTATTTCCCTAAGAACTTTTCCTATTTACTGCCTGAAATTCTTGTTTTGGCTTTTATCCCACTGCTGTTTTGGTACCTTCTACTCAGGTTGTGGTGTGTGTGTGTGTGTGTGTGTGTGTGTGTGTGTGTGTGTGTTTGTGTACTGTGACCCCATTACACATATTCTTATCACAAGCATTCATTCTCAAGAGCTAACTCCTCAGTTCTCATCACCTGTTTGCATTTCTTAATTTGACTTTCCATGTTAGCTCTAGTCTGTACTTCTACTTGTGTGCTCACATCACAATTTGGGTGTCCTGTTGTCGTCTGAAACTTAACATGTCCAAGATGAAATAATCACTTAATATTCCAGGCAAACTTCCCCAGTTCCATCACTGACACTGACACTGTTTGGCCAGTCCCTGGGGCTCGAGAGAGAGCAGGCATTTTGACTACTGATTTATCACTCTTTATTCATCAAGTGTCAATATTCATTTCCCCCAAAAGTCTCATATACAGCTCATTCCCTGATATGACCATAGTCCATGATATGAGTGTAGTCCTCATTTCCATCACTGGGTATGACGAAATGGCATGATAAAAAAAAAAAAAAGAAAAAAAAGAAGGTCCTCCTCCTACCTAGTCTCCCATTCTCCAGGATTTTCCCTCCTGTCTCTATTCATCTGTATCTATATTACTAAATTGTTCTTTTTACCATACAATTTTCTTGTTCAAGAAACATAATGATTCCCTCTTGTCTAAAATACCAGGTTAAAAACTGATATACTGACTTTTCAATGACTTCTATGAATCAGACCAATCTATTATCTTCCATTCTCTCAAAGACCACTCTGGCTCCAGCTTGAGCCATCATGGTCTCAAGCACTCATTCAAGTTCAGTCCACTTTAGTTATCTTTTTTTAAAAAAATGATTTTCCTCCCACCTTTCTTGAGATATAATTGACACGTAACATTATGTACAACATGATGATTTGATTCATGTATAGACTGTGAAATGATTTTACCAGAATAAGCTTAGTTCACATCTCGTTCTGCATAATTACTTTTTTTTTTTTGGTGGTGCCACCTTAGTATACTTATTTATATAGTTCTCTCACCCTGAAGCACCCTTTACTGCCCCTGCTGGCCAATCCAAATTCACCCACTCCTCAAGGCTGAAGCCAAGTCCCAACTCCAGGCCTGGAGGAACTCCTACACTGACAACTGGCGTCACACAATGCAGCATTTGATTACAGAAAGCAAGATACAGGTCTCTAAATGCTTCCTGGTGTGACTCTCTTGTACACCCAAGTAATTTTTTCTTTCTAAAAGTAGAGAAAAAGACTTCCATCTCTCCTTCATTGCTTATTATACATATCCAACCCAGATTAGGCCTTTTTTTTTTTTTTTCAGATCAGGCCACTTTGTATTTAAATTTATTGATATCACCACAGCATTCCTATGAATAGGGTATGGGAGAATATTCATATTCTCAGTTAACAGATAGGAAACAGCTTGAGGTTCCCTAGTCGGCCTTTGCTGGTTCCCTAGATCTCTGTATGCTTAGTTCATTCTTAGCTTCAGGAATCTGCTTCCATGTCCCTTTTTATGAGAGGTCTTTCTTAACAATCCCATGTAAAGTTTGCCATTTTCATTTACTGTTCATCATGTCATCTTGTTTATTGCTGTTCCACTATTTATCACATCCTTAATTAACTTATTGTTTATTGTTTGACAATTCCACTAGATGTAAGCTTCACGAGGGCATGGACTATCTTCTTTCTTGCTGTATATATCTATCTAGTATCCAAGGAGAGTAGCTGGTACTCATTAAATGTTCATTTCATAAATGAATGAATCAGTTGAATATTAATAAATATACTTGGGGCACTGTATTGAGAAACCACTGAATATTCTAGTGCTTGTAAAGTACTCCATCCTATTCTCTTAGTTTCTATTGTTGGCAAATAATTAATTATGTCAAATATTATGGAGTCTCAACCTTGGGCACAATTACAAAATAGTTGTGGGTGAAACCATTAAATAACATGTTGATGCTTTAAATGAAATCATATGTGAGCCTGAGTCAATCCCCATTCTTAATGTTTGATTTGTTATCTGCTCCTGAGATATGAAGAGAGGCTACTTGGAGGACGAATCCAGATTCTCAAAGAGAACATCTTTCTACCTAAAATGGTGAGTATGTAATAAAATTGAAAAGTAGCTTGTAAAGTTAATACTGTTAAAAGAATGAAGGAGAAATGTCATCAATCATTCTCAAGAACAGTTAAGTTTTAACACCCTGGACATTGTGCTGAAAAGCAAATGATCATAAAAAGCATACTTAAATGGTATTTCGGTGTTCCTTCAAATGGGACAGGCAAACTGGAGGTAGTCCTGGACCCAGCCTGCACTTGGACACCAGCGAGGGCCCTCCTATGGTTTCAGTGCAGGACCTGGGTGCATCACTTAACTCTTCTGGTTCTCGGTTTCCCCAAGAAAATGGGAGATGAGGGCTGGTAATTTCTATTTTTGATTTATAGAAAAACTAGTACTCAGAAGTCACAGAGCTAGTACTAAAATGAGACTGAAAAAAACCAAAACTATTATCATTTTTACAAAGAGAGGAAGTGTTAATTTGCCACCAAATTCTTAGTCTTGGTTTCTAGGGTTTACTGGTACTTGTATTTGGTGGGGAGGATTTTACAAAGAGAGCAAGAAGAAAAATGACAGTTAATAAAATGCAATCCATGCTGATAATAGAAGATATTTTCTTTTTAAAAAAATGACCATTAAAATTAAATAGTTTTTTTTTTTTTTTGGTGCAACTTGCACCAATCAATTTGAGATGGGCAGACATCTTAGGACCCAAAGGAATCTTCAAAAAGATCCTGCATCAGAGAGATTCTGATTATATCCATAGCAAAAAAATCAAAACTAATATAATTTGCTGAAAGAAGGGTGGTAAAATATGATGGCATAGCTTCTAAAATAATCTTTCAAGCATGAAGCTAACAAACAGGTTTACATAAAAAAACTTTTATGATCTCAAGCTAGGAATTTCAAAATAACTGCACCAAAACGAACATCA